GGATGTACACAGAAACTAATGTACTAGCAAGAATACATCCGAAGGAGACATTGCTTGGAGAGAATCCTGTTACACGCGCGAAGTTGGTGCCCCCGGGGCACAAGAGAGATGAAAAAGTCGCGATGACTTTATACACAGGTGTCAGTCAATTGTAATAACGTCTGTAGCGTTGGAAGCCACAGGGTTTCGCTGAAGACTTCTGTCATTAATGAAGTTCGCCGTCATCGTAGTATCGTTAGCCATGCCAGCCTGCGACGGTGCCCCGGTTTGACTCTGTTTCTCCGAGACTGGCTGAGTTGAGTAATCCTGATCAGATTTATTTTCTCGTGGCAACCAAGTATTATGCTGAGCGCCGGTGAAACATCCATCGAGGGCCCAAATAGCGTTGCTGACTCCCTCAGCATCTGCAACCACTCCATTTCCAAGACCTTTCCAACCGTTTCCCTTGGAATGATACAATGTACCTCGCAAACGGGCTTTGAGTTGTTCGTGGCCTGGCTTGGCCTCTGGGCTGCTCAATTCCCTTAGTACCCAAGTCAATTGCCCGKAATGGTGACTCGTTGTGAGTTGAAAACAGAAGCCCTGATAATTATAATGGAGGAGGAATGTGTAAGCATTGCGCACAATCACCTGTAACCTGAACGACTCCTGGCGAGACGCATTAGATGTTATTTGCTCCAAGGCTCGCATCAAGGGAAGTGTAAAAGAGAGGATCTCGGTTACGAAATCCAAACCAGCTTCATTAGAAGCATGGTTTAAAATGGCAGCGAGAGACCCCTGGACCCGGCGATGAGGGTTCGGATGGTTGAATCGAATACCCAGAGTGAGAAAAAGTAAGGGGTCAGTCCTTGCTAGAATGCGAACAGGGTCAAGCTCCGGAGAAGAGGGGACCTCGGACAACCCGATGCCGATAATGGCTGAGAGATCCCTTCTCGGGCCGTAAGCAAAGGCTATATGAGTAAGCGATAACKATTGAGGTGTCAATCTCCTTTGCCGGAGAAAATCGAGAATTGACAACGTGCACTCCAGAGTCTGCAGGCTTTTAAACAGCTGAATGATAACCGGTCGACCAGCTGGAGCGAGAAGCCGAAGGGCAAATCTACTGCCTCCTCGCTTGAAAACTAGGGAGCTGTCCGACTTTGAAACTAATGTGCACAAATCTGTCAAAGGTGTCACTAAGTTGCCATACGCCACAAATATGGCAATATTCTTGCGTCGGTCAATCCCATGGAAGGCAAGGCGAACTGTGTTCTTGAGAAGGTTCTTTCTCCTCAGACCCGCGGGCAAAACTAGCTGAAGCGCCCGAGGAAGGTTCGATACTTGGTAGCGAATGAAAATATCCGGGATTTGAAGATCGGGCTCAACTTTCAATGCGCGCAACGGTGGGTGGAACTCAACCGTTCGCAAATCGGCTAGATAGCTGACATTGCAATAAATTGCTACCATCCCAGAAAGACAGTAGCCCAAGTCCGGGAACGATGAAGAGTGAGTTTGGTTGTTCGTAGCAAGAAAGGTATCGCTCATGCTATGCCCTGAACAAAGTGGGACATTTGTATCAGGGCCCGAAAAGTCCGTTGCAATTTCTGAGGATCGGCGAAGTTGCACAACCCACCAGTTGTCACTGGCGATGCTGCTTGTTGCAGCCACGACCCAATTTCGCTCCCATGAAGGGTGCCAGAAAAGGGAAAAACGTAAGACATTAGCTGGAAAGACTTTCCGAATATCGTTTCTGAGTCCCTTTAGGCTGACTGTTTCAAAACCCAAAATCCTGACATTAGACTCAAGTTCCTCTATGGCCGCAATGCAACGAAGGCGAGAAACACGGGCCACTAAATCATCGATGGTGGACCTGTCCAGACTGGCATCACTTTCGGAACGTTCTGAAAGACCAGGGGTAGCGGACAAGATGACGGCTCCCGACATTGGCTCAATGGATACCCGAAGATGTCTGGAGCCCGTGAGCTGGACAGAGAGTTGACATTCGCCAGGCTCAGTGACATTCAAAATCGCTTGTGACGACAAAGTGCCGGTGGAAAATAGCGAATATCCACTTAGGATGCCGTAAGCTGACGAGAGCAGATAAGATATATGTAGAGCAATGACACTGCGCAGGAGACACTCCATTGATAAATCGTCTGCATCGAATTCAATGTCTCTACTGTCGACCTCCTGGCCATCCCTCATCCAACGCAAGCCCAGGCACGGGACCCCAGAGCCTTGGCTGTCAGCATTCCCATTACCGCTCTTGATCCCAATCTCGACCCAACTCTTAGGTCCTGGTTTTAGGGCCCAATATTGTATAACCAGGGTTCGATGCAAAAGTTCAACACGTAATGCTTCTGACCAAAGGCCTTTAGCCAACTCGATGGCCTGCTTGAATAATATGTGAATTTTATTGGTCAATACCAAGCCATGCAGGAAATTGAAGCAGCCTGATAAGCCGCTATCACGCAGTTTATCATTGATTTTAGCATCAATCTCATTGGACATTCGACCCTTCGGAATGTTGGAGGATGGGGAGTAAAGAAAGCGGATATCAACGAAGAAGAACTGTGAGAGCTCGCTTTCTGCTCCGACGGATAAGTCGAGCTCAAATTCGCCGCGCACGACAAAAGTAACTCGGCCGTCATGAACTAAGTAGGTCCGGAATGGACGAGGGATTGAATCATATAATGCAAGTCTGGCACTGATGATCCGATTTATTTTGTGTAATCTTCTCAGAGAGCCTCTCGCTGTTAGAAGTCTGGAGGACTTGTAGCCGAGCTAGACAACTTTGAGTCAGTAATGTTGAGCTTCGTGCGTGCAAACATGGCTTACATCCGCTAAGGATTCCAGCCTGCCCTTGGACAAGATCTCCAGGGCAGTTTGGAGATCCGGATTGGCCACCTGAGCCTGCACCAGGTCCTGTTTCATATCTCCCACTCGCTGCAACGCATCCACGAAAGCTTGATGGCGAGCGCGAATAAAATTTTGCAGGTCAATTAATTTACTGACATCGCGCGCTTGCCGACTCCACTGTGAAAGAACGAGAAGTTTAATGAACTCGGCCCGTTTAGCATGAGCAAAATCTAGTATTCTGAGCTTTTTCTGGAGGTTTTCGGGAGACTGGTTCCCAGGAGATTTTCCATTGACAGGCAACAAAGGGATTGAGCTGTGCGGTGACACTTGTATTGCCGCCAGCTCTGTAATAAGGTCAGATAGCTCATTCCAGCATTGCTGCACAGATCGGTTGACTAGCGTTGAAAACGGAAAGAATCCCTGTGTAATATGTGGTAGCTCAGGCAGAGCTTTGTGTCCATCAATTCCAGGTTGGCCAGTATAGCTTTCCTTATCACGGTCGTGAACTTTGGCAGCTTTGGCTGTTCCGTTGACATGTAACGACCCATTTCGCAAGTTATCCCCATTACTCGAAGTCTGAGTGTCTGGCGCATGCCTGGGCCCACCAACAGTAGCATTATCCATGATGACGCCCGGCATGTCTGTAAATACGGCGCCTCCGGCCTCTGGGATCAGCCCTCCCCCCCTTCACCCTCTGCACGGCACAAAGGTGAGGCGACCTGACCCGGGTGCTAGCCCAGACACGCCGGCGTTAGGGCCAGGAAGGGAAGCTGACAGTACTCAACCCGCTGAAATAACCGCTTCAGCTAGCTGTCATCCGTGATCAACTGGTATGCGCAAAGCTAGCTCGACGAGAGCGCTGCAACGGCACTGAAGGTAGGGTAAACTTCCGGTGAAGTAAAGAATGGCACGTGAGGAAGTTGGAACAAGGGCCTGGTGAGGTAGTTTTATCGGCCTTACGGAATTGATTCAGGTGCGCGATTGAGAGTGTGAAGGTATTAACCACAAAAATTCGCGTTGGTCGGTCCTGCTCAAGAGACTCCTAAAGCAAAAGCATTCAGCAGCAGGATGACGAACAAGCCAGACACTAAGTCTTCTCAGTCGGATTGTGATTCACTATTTCAAACATAGGATTCGGAGGTTCTCGCGAACGGAAGGGTGGAATCCATCAAAGGCTTTAGCCCTTTGCTGGAGCAAACAAGGAGATAGCGTCGATGCCCCGTGGAAGACTAAAGAGGTGACCACGCCACAGATGATGCTTGCAGATATACTAGCGTATACAGGCAATGGAAAAAAATATGGAGAAACTGATGGGTTGATGTATTATTGTCTAAAAGTTGCAGTACTCGTGCGGGTCGGAAAAAGAGCTGATGGATTGCAGATTCATGATGTGCCTTGGTGCCTGATGTAAGGTATGCCTGAGGGATTACTACTACCTACTGACCTTAGTAAAGATCGAATATTTGAGTTATCGGTAATATAACCTGTTCTTACATTAGCGTCTGTTACCTACGTAGGTACCTGCGTATCGTTCTCTCTCCGCATTTCCACTAACCTACGGCGTATTTAGGTCAAGATTACCTAACAGCTAGGTAAGATATGGATAAGGTAAGCTGCCACTGAGGTAAGGAGCTCAAGGCGGATCGATCCTTAGCTGATGACGATGGCCAGACATTCCTTCATTAACGTGTGCGAGATACACTGGACGACAAAAGAGTTTTTACTTGCTATTCCCCATAGTGATTACTTTGCCTCAGCACTATGTTCGTTCACTAATTAGGGAACCTAACTTATGTAGTTCCTTCAATACCCCAAATAATTCTTTGGTAAAGGATCCTTATTCGACTTTATCCAACGTCCAGTGGAGCTGAGACTGTGTCTGATGTTACCAGGCCTGCATGATTTGCCAGTATGGTCAAGCAACACTTTGGGAACCCATTTATATCGCCTGCTGACACCTTTTCCTTGTGCCTAGGTTGGCGGTTTGTCGGAAACCATTGCTTTCTACTCTGGTAGGCTGGCTATTCCTCTTCTTACCTGCCTAACGCTTAAACATCATGATATAGAGACACAAATTACGGCTGAAGCTGTTGAGGGAGCAACTGCTTCGAACAACCGGACCCTTTATATAATGGTAACGCGTTTCTCAAGTCGGTGACAATATGCGGGCTGGCGATGAAACCGAAACGAGCATGACGCGGCCGCAATACCCTGGGGATGATACTCGGCCTACCAGCAAAAAAGAACTTGCTGGATGGTATAGCTATGGCTGGGCAGCAGAGGTTTTTACGGTCTGCGCTATGGGTATGCACAAGTCTGGCATCGGACCTTCGCTTGCATTCATTCGCTCCTAAAGTTGACACTTACCATAGGCTCCTTCCTCCCCATTACCTTAGAGCAAATGGCTCGCGACCGCGGTGTTCTTTTATCCGATAAGGTGACTCCCTGCAGTGCTACCTTGAATGGTCCATCGAAGACGTCCACACAAGCCCAGTGGACGCTTTCTTCAAGATACGATGCCGGAGGACCAACAGTGGTAAACCAGTGTGTGGTCTACATCTTCGGTGTCGAGATAAATACTGCAAGTTTCGCAATGTATACCTTCTCGGTGAGTGTCTTTATTCAAGCCATCTTGATCATATCCATGTCAGGAGCCGCGGACCATGGAAGTCATCGAAAGCTGCTTCTAGTGGCTTTCGCTGTGATTGGCTCGGTCTCCACAATGCTCTTTCTGGGTGTGGTGCCTAAGATCTATATTGTGGGCGCAGTGATTGCGATCATTGCAAATACCTGCTTTGGAGCCTCCTTTGTGCTTTTGAATTCATTCCTACCCTTGCTGATACGCCATCATCCTTCTGTGCTTCTGGGTGTTTGCGAACCGCCCCCCACTTTGGATGGCTCTCGCGCCCAAGAAGGTCATTCTGATTCCACAAACGATATTGATCATGGCATTGACTCTAACGCCACCTCGCCCCTGCTTCATACCCCTCAAGGAAACAGCGAAATGCGTCCTGCAGCTACCGTTGCAGTTTCGCAAGAGCTGAAGCTATCAACTCGGATATCTTCTTTTGGAATTGGAATTGGCTACATCGGTGCGGTTATTCTACAAATCGTCTGCATCCTCGTCGTCATCGCTACCAACCAAACTACCTTCTCCCTGCGTCTCGCACTGTTTCTAATCGGGCTCTGGTGGTTCATTTTCACAATACCTGCCGCGCTCTGGCTGCGATCTCGCCCAGGGCCACCATTGACTACCACTCATCAAGGGAAGCACACCCGCTCTTGGATCGGTTACATGGCATATGCCTGGAAGTCGCTTTATCGGACAGCAGTGCGGACACGTCATCTCAAAGACATCTTACTGTTTCTCGCCGCTTGGTTTCTTCTCAGTGATGGAATTGCCACCGTCAGCGGGACTGCGGTACTCTTCGCAAAGACACAACTCAATATGCAACCCGCAGCTTTGGGACTTATCAATGTGATTGCAATGTTGGCTGGTGTCTTGGGGGCGTTTTCTTGGAGCAGTGTTTCGCGAGTATTCAATCTGAGCGCGTCACAAACAATCATTGCATGCATTCTCTTATTCGAGCTAGTGCCTCTCTATGGTCTTTTGGGGTTTATTCCAGCAATCAAGGGCCTTGGATTTTTGGGCCTCCAGCAGCCATGGGAGATGTTCCCACTGGGAATTGTGTATGGGATTGTCATGGGCGGCCTGTCCTCTTACTGCCGCAGTTTCTTCGGAGAGTTGATTCCTCCTGGCAACGAAGCAGCATTCTATGCTCTTTATGCGATTACTGACAAAGGGTCGAGCATTTTCGGGCCTGCAATTGTCGGCATCATCACCGATCGCTACGGTGAAATACGCCCTGCATTTGTGTTCCTTGCAATTCTGATATTTCTCCCATTGCCGCTAATGCTACTTGTGGATGTTGAACGAGGGAAAAGAGATGCGCTTGCTCTTGCTGCAGAATTGCAGCCATCAGGCGCTCAAACCTACGGAACGCTTCCAGGACACGAGGATCGCGCCTCGCCAAGTGAGCTATAGATACTATTGATCTTCTAAGCGATCAGCAGAGCTACTCTTATAATGGAAGCCGATTCGGTCAACACTTATTGGAACACGGCTCGCCTCGTTGGCTAGGAACTTGCTTCTCTCTCCCCCTCTACAATCGTTGTCTCAGCCTCTTTCCATCGGATAGGACCGAGTACGCACTAACTTGGAGTGCAAACGACACAGTGAACTACATAGCTTTACAAGCAAGCATCTTGAAGCTTTATACTATCAGAAAAGGGGACATTTCTACTTTTCAGCGCTTTTTGGGCGTGCGATTATGCTACCATCCTCTGCGACAGAAGTGTAATTTCCCATAAGAACTCCGAACCATGTGGAGAGAATTATGAGCCATACACTTGGTTAAGGAAGTCCGACCCAAGGATGACCAAAATTCATTCATTGTATCAACTGTAATGTTCGAAAATGACTGGTTTACTGAGGACCGTCCAGGCAAAGACACCTATTCATTCAGCTCATAAAATTCCATTTACTGCCTTTACTGGAGAATCAAACATTATCTATTGATATTTCTAATCCATCAGGAGGCAGTGAGATAGGTATGCTTGGCCTCTATTTTATGATTTGTTGGGGATCCACTTACTGGCTTAGAAATCGCAAACAGGATGAGGAAGTATCTCATCAGTTGGATGTTTGACTGGATCGACATTGTCATCATTGATTGTGTAGCAGAGCCACGAAATATCATTATTCTGCCTCATAACCACCTAGGCAGGGTTGAAATAAATTACGCGTTAAAGCACTTAGGTACTTCAATAAGGTACTAAGGTTCGTTATTTTATCAGGTGCGCCTGTCTCTGGCCGATACAGATACCCCAAATACCAAAGGAAATGCAGGGGAATGGAAAGAGTATCTAGAGAATAGGTATCTAGGTACATCTTGCGAAGTACGTACAGTATGTATATAGCGATAATGAAGTTATAGAGGCCAGAGGGACCGGGACATTCTCCGTCGAAAACTTACCTACCTTGGGTATCTACAGGTTCCGAGGTGGGTATTACGTTTATTATGGGTACGTATTATTCTTACCTTGCTGAACATGATTTTATGATTTATCATCTATCTTATTATTTACGGGGTATTTACCTATGATTTTACGAGTCCCTTGCAGAATTCACTGTTTAGGCGGCTGAGCGGAGCCACTCACAGAGCTTGAACAGCCAGCTGACCGCAGAAAGAACAAACTGTCCTCAACTCTTCTCCATACTTGTACTTAATGGGGCCGCTCACCTTTTGAATCGCCTGTTCTCCCTCCGCTGTGCTCTTCCCATCGTTCTCATCTCTGCCTTTAAGCTCTAGGGTAGCAACCAGGACTGAGATTCATTCTTGTCCAACTCTCAACTCCTCAGTCGAGCAGGACTAGATTGGGTCTGCAGCTATTTGCAAGAGGATCTTCATCTTTGGTCTTGATTTATCCCATTAACCGTCGTTTCGTTTGTTTCCGAGACTTTTCTATATCATGCGATCTTTTGCACCCTGGGTTTTAAGCCTTCTCGGGGCTAGCGCGGTAGCCTCTGCTGCTGACGCGACAGCTGATACCCCCTCTGATGTCGTCTCTCTGACCAAAGACTCGTTCAAGGATTTTATGAAAGAGCATGACTTGGTGCTGGCCGAGTTCTATGCGCCCTGGTGCGGCCACTGCAAGGCTCTGGCTCCCAAATATGAAGAGGCTGCTACTGAGCTCAAGGGAAAAGATATCCCCTTGGTCAAGGTCGATTGCACTGAGCAAGAGGACTTGTGCAGAGAAAATGGCGTCGAGGGCTATCCTACTCTCAAGATCTTCCGCGGCCCTGATTCCAGTAAGCCCTACCAGGGAGCTCGTCAGGCTGACTCGTAAGTTTCACTACTCCCAGCGCGCGCCTCTATCAACTCTCGTCCCTGATCATCTGTGCTCTGCTTTCCTCTTCGATACGGTCTTGTCTTCCAGTTCCTAGCCGCCTTCTGCATTATTAAACTAACCTTGCTCAAAAAGAATTGTCTCCTACATGATCAAACAGTCCCTCCCCGCCGTCTCAACTGTCACTGAAGAAAACCTCGAGGAGATTAAGACCATGGACAAGATTGTGGTCATCGGTTACTTTGCCTCCGACGACAAGGCTGCCAATGATGTGTTCACCTCTTTTGCTGAATCTCAGAGAGACAACTACCTCTTTGCCGCGACCAGCGACTCAGCTATTGCCAAAGCGGAAGGTGTCAAGCAACCCTCGATTGTGCTCTACAAAGACTTTGACGAGAAGAAGGCTGTCTACGATGGAGCGATCGACCAAGAAGCGATCCTCAGCTGGGTGAAAACTGCCAGCACTCCTCTTGTGGGTGAGATTGGTCCCGAGACCTACTCTAACTATATTACGGTATGTTCTTGTCTCTTATGATCGGAAACAATTAATCTGCTTTATCCCTACCAGCTAACCTGCACTGTGTTCTAGGCCGGTATCCCTCTCGCGTACATCTTCGCTGAGACCAAGGAGGAGCGTGATCAGTATGCGGAGGAATTCAAGCCCATTGCTGAGAAGCACAAGGGAGCCATCAACATCGCCACTATTGATGCCAAGATGTTCGGTGCCCACGCCGGGAACCTCAACCTTGACCCCCAGACATTCCCCGCTTTCGCTATCCAGGATCCAGAGAAGAACGCCAAGTACCCTTACGACCAGTCCAAGGAAATCAATGCCAAAGACATCGAGAAGTTCATCCAAGATGTCCTTGATGGCAAGGTTGAGCCCAGCATCAAGTCTGAGCCTGTTCCTGAAACCCAAGAAGGCCCCGTTACAGTCGTTGTGGCTCACTCCTACCAGGATCTTGTCATCAATAACGACAAGGATGTTCTTCTCGAATTCTACGCCCCGTGGTGTGGACACTGTAAAGCGTGAGTGTTGCCCGTCCTACCAAAAGGCTGGGATGAAAGGTGAGCTGACGAGTCTTTCATAGTCTGGCCCCCAAGTATGAGGAGTTAGCGGCTCTCTATGCTGGTGAATTTAAAGATAAGGTCACCATTGCCAAGATCGATGCTACTGCCAACGACGTTCCTGATTCCATCACCGGATTTCCTACCATCAAACTCTATCCCGCCGGTGCTAAGGATTCTCCCGTTGAGTATTCTGGCTCTCGTACCGTCGAGGATCTGGCAAACTTCATCAAGGAGAACGGCAAGTACAAGGTTGACGCTCTTGAGGCTGCCTCAGAGAAGGTTGAAGAAGGGGCTGATGTTACCGCTTCCCCTTCGGCTACATCCACTGAGGCTGAAGCCTCTGCTGCTGTTGGCGACGAGAAGGGCGACGACCATGATGAATTGTAGACTACTACTTTAGCCGAAGGACTTCCATTTTAGTATCCGAATTTCAAACATCATGATTGTATCCTACCCCGAGCAGATTTCACTTTTTCGTCAGCTTCTTGAACTGGCCATCCCTGGAAACCTGACTACCCAGCAGACAAGATTGCCCACTTGATACTAATTTTATTTAACCATGTGTTTAGTAAAATGAATATGTAAGAGCCGCAACAGAGCCGCAAGGCTTCTGTCAGCAACACTTTCGCTACGCTCGCCGACTCGACCAACCGAGGTACCCACATTTGTAGAACGCCATGCTATAACATCTTCATTTTACCACTCGTCAACAGGATAAGGGGGGCCACTTTCTCAGACAGCCTGAAGACCTGGAAGTGGTATCTCTGCCGAGTCAAGGGAAGAGTGGGGGAAGGAATTCACGCTGATACAGCTGCAGACGCCTGAATCACAGAGACGGCCCCTTCTTGATTGATAGTAATGAAAATACCCAAATTAAATCAGATGTTCAGCAACTCATGTTGCAGCTTCAGCCGCAGCTAGAACCTCAAGTGCATCGACATCATCGTCAAATTCATCAAGTGATCCGTCAGGGTCCACAAGTTTCACGCTAGCAACTTTGCTCTCTTCCGAAGGATCTGAACCAGGCAGTTTCGCGGTGGATGTCTTCACCTGGTCGATCACAGGAGAAGGGTCCGAGATAGCGGCAAGCGGGCCGCCTGTCTTTGTTTTCGGGATCAGACTCCAGTCAATGATGCCATCCGGACCATAGCGTTCGGCGAGCCACTCGTTACATTTTTTGAAATGGCCATTGTTGAACTAGACTCCGCATGAAGTCTCACGTCAGTACAAAGGGGCTCGGTAGGGTGTGCCATGATGGCGAGGGAGTGAAGCAAGACTTACAAAACCTTTGTGAGCGCTAAGCGGACTAGGATGAACCGACTGCAAAACGCAATGCTTTTGCCGGTTGACACCTGCTACGCGCTTCCCTGCCGGCGAGCCCCAGGCCAGAAAAACCACTCCATTAGTTCGTACTCGAGCGACGGTGTCGATGGCCTTTTGTGTGAAGCGTTCCCATCCTTTGTTTGAATGGCTTGCCGCCTGATGAGCGCGGACTGTTAAGCAGGTGTTGAGCATGAGTACTCCTCGCTCAGCCCAAGGTATTAAAAGGCCACCCTTGTTTGGCGGGGGCTGGAAAGTAGGGTAGTCGTTTTTGATTCCGGTATAGATATTCACCAGAGAGGGAGGAGCAGGAGTGGGAGGGCGAACCGAGAATGCTAGACCATGAGCCTGATTGTGGTTGTGATAGGGATCTTGGCCGATGATGACCACTTTCACTTTGTCCAAGGGCGTATGTCGAGACCTGGGGTTGACATTATTAGCAACATAGTTCGGCGCGCCTCGTGGATGGCATGGCTAGGAAGGAGTTGCACCAAGAGTAAATCTCATTCTCTGGAGGAAAGATCTTTGCACCCGACTCCCTCTCCTTTTTCAGGAATCGCTTCAAGCCCAAGAACTCTGGTGTGACCAGCTCCTCCTTGAGCTTAGACAGCCAGCTTTCGTGTAACGTATCAATCTCCAGTCGCAGGAGTTCTTGCTGCTCAGGCGTCAATGATGCCACCCATTTGTCTTTGTTGAAGTTCGAGGAAGGGGTCGAAACGGTCAATGTTTTGGCGTCGACAGGCCTGGGTTTAGGGGCACCGAAGAAGGACGTGATACTGCCATTGGCCTTGGGCTTCTTCGCATCACACGCTGGTGTTGATAGATGGTTAGCATTACGTTTGAGCCCTGATGGACTGGCCATGACGCGCTTCCTTCGTGTGTGAATAGAGCTTGGTGTTGATATCGGCGACTTGAGAAGGATGAAGGGGTAGGAGTAGTAGTATAACAGATTCCAGAAGAGACGAAATGTAATTACTCAGTGAGTTAAGCAAGAAAACTCACCTAGTTTGGAAATGTGATTAATCCACATGTAGAATCATCTCACCATAATTGAGCTGTGGAGTCTAGTACACCGCATCAGCACTTAGCTTCCCGTGTAAACGCGTCGCTCCAGCAATGATCGCGTGGCTCACGCGTATATAGTACTATAATGTGGACTTGGCATCAGTTTACCCGTTCGTCTGTGTCAAGTTCAAATTCAAGATCCGAATCCGATGAGATTTCAGAGCCTGCACTCTCTGGGGCTATACCTCTCTATTATTAATAATCCCTGGGGCGATCAAGACTGGTACCACGCGTTCCCAAAGGTCCCGAATCATCCCTATCCGTGGTTAGTCTATTTCGATGGCAGCACTGCTAAGTGCTAGCTAAGCACTTGATGCTGCTATGGATTAGCGTCAGGATTGATCGTTATTAGAATATTTGGAGTATAGTCCTGCACGAAACATTGAGTATCTATGAAGCATACTGACATAGCCGAAAAGAAATCAGCCAATCGTCTTCCTGGCTTCAGGAATTCTGCCGCATCTGTATTTTCACCTTACACTATGATGTGAGCATGGAATTCAAATGGGTTGCTGATACTCCCCAATCGCGAGGTCGCAGACGAGCCATTCGAGCATGTGCAGATTGTCAGCGAAGAAAGGTATCATTTTACTCTTCAAACAACCTTCCTCTCCCCGCCCGATCATTCCATTCTGCTGTGTGCTTTAGCCCCTCTTCCCAATCTATATTGTCATGCCCATCTATATCCGAACAGCATCTAATCTACAATGGTCTGAAGAGCTAAGTCATGTTGTAACAAGAAACGCTGCCGCCATATTATAAACTCGGGGTCTGTCTCAAATCAGGCGCAAGCTCTTCCGGGGGATCACCTTGAGCGTGCTGCTCTTCGTTCCAACAGGAGTCAGCAGCCAGACGATCCATCATCCCCTCTGGGCGGCGCTGGGCCAGCAAAGTCTACCATTTTGACATCGGTACCGCCTGATAATTCCAGAGCAGAACGCTTTGTAGGAGATCTCAACCCAGAAGCTGTGATTCGCGAGAAATTGGATGGCGCATCTGGCAGCCGCTTTCGAGATCGGATTGGCCTTTGGATTAGCTCACAAAGCAGCGATGGCCACGGAGATGATACAGCGTTTGATGTAAACACTGCTCCGGTTAGTTTGTCGTTTACGCAGAGTCAACATTCCCAGTCTGTTGCCTCTTTATTACAAGAGCGGTATTCGTCAGCTTTGAATGCTTGTCATCGTCTGCCTTCGTCGACTCGGGACCAGTTGATTGCCATCTTTTTCTCCAGAATTCATCCTATCCTTCCGCTTATTGATCAAGAATCCTTTATTCGTGCCTACTCCCATGGAAGTGCATCTGTGTTCCTGGAGCGGGCAATTTGCCTTGTGGCTGCCAAGGATCAAGCCGCCAGCTCGTTCCTTCGTACAAGCATCAATGGTCCTCTCAGTACGTCTCGACAGTTTTGTTCCGAGATTTACACTGGGCTAGTTGTCGCGATGGACGCCGGGCTGGAGTCGGACCGAATCACCCGCATACGTTCATTAGCGCTGATGTCTTTACATTGTGAAGGTCACGAGGGCGCAGAGGCTGCATCTATGCATCTTTGTCGGGCTATCCACGAGGCTCAGACCGCAGGTCTGCACCTGAACAGACCTGATCGAGTACACGGGGATTCTCTATCGCGACTTTTCTGGTGCCTCTGGAGCTTGGATAAGATGCACGCAAGCATAGGCGGCCGCCCAGTTCTCCTTGCCGACCGGGACATTGGACTGAGAAAACCCATTGTCAATACCTCTCATCCTAAGACTACATTTGACGTGTGGTTTGCCATTTCGGATTTGCTCTCTACTGTGATCTCATTCTATAGGCCATCTGCGGATCCTACCGTCGGCTGGGAAACCAACTTTCCGTCTTTTGAGGAGATAATGGGTGACAACTTCGGGGAGGAACTGGACTTTACCATGTTGGGTACGTTCCATGATCCTTCTCTTCCTTCAGTCTACTGCTGACCGCCTCGAAGGCTTCCTTGAAGTGTATTATCATGCCGTCGCCATTCTTTCGTGCAGGTCCAGGATGCCCGATCGCCCCCAAAACTCGAATTCCAGTATCCGACAAGGTCTCGCTGCGGTCCGGATACACTCCATTGTAGCAACTGAATGTGCCCAAGATTTGCCCCCTCTCCCCATCATTCCATACGCACTATCGCTTTCCATGAGCGTCTCCTATCAGCAATTTCGGTCAAGTAGGCTGATTACCCATTTTAACCGAGCAAAAGCCAGTTTAGAGGCTTGCTGTTCCTTGTTGGAGAGTATGGGCATCTACTGGTACTCTGCAGAGGCAATGGCACGTCTGGGACGCAGAGCCTTGCGTGAAATTGACGTGGCAAAGCCTGGACTGCAGCGATCCCAGGGACAGGGCGTTCGGCAGCTGATGGACCCTGGAAGCATCCCGTCAGGATCAAATGAAGTCACCACTGCTTCCACCACGCAGCTAGCGGCTGACGGTTATAGCCCTGGCGTTTCTGGTTGTGTCCCCGCACCTGTTGCGCCACTAGAGTGTCCTACGGATTCATCCACAGAGTTGCAGAGAGTCGAGGAAAATCGGCAGGGTGCTCTTGAAGATATTGACGTGCTTTTTGGTGACTTCCTTGACCTGTCCTTACCCACGAACTTCTGGGACCCGGTCTTTCTCACTGAGGAGGACAAAGGTAGCACGTGACGGCGTAATTTGGGACCGTGTCAGTATGATAAAGTCAGTATCCCCTGTGCAATTGTGCCGCGCTTCAGAACGAATGGCCATTGATTGAGATCAAATGACCTTTTTGTACCCTCTCATTGGGAGAAAACGAGCGTTGTGGGAAGTGCGGGCTGTCGATCGTCATTACTGGTGGTGACCTGACCAACAGATACTTATGGTTTCTTGAACACTATTCATCTACATAGTTCTCTACAGAAGGGCAGTGCAAAGGCTCAAGCGCATAGGGGAAACGCTGACTCTTCTCAAAATCCAAGTGCATTTTTTGCGGGCGTTGGCCTCTAGCATCTTGATTTCCTGCATGGCTGCGAAAACAAGTTGTCCATATTCCAGTCCAAAACGCCATTTCCAGACATAAACAGAGAGTGAAGTTCTGTCCAGTCGAGTCCACTTTAAATCACTCTAGCATATAAGTGAGGATTTTAAATAAGGTTGATATCTATCTATATCGTGGTACTTAGGTACGGGAATACTCGGTACTCTTTGCTAATCCTGCATCCCAAAACCAATTATTGTCATTGGATACTTCTGGATATTGTCATAAATCATATATGAATGGCTAGCCCCTGACTTTCAAGCATCAACTAACGCTTTTAGGCTGTTCCTAACTTCTTGGGTTTAATATAACAATAATAATAATTCCCAAGCTTGACCTACCACCGGAGTAAAGGACTACGACTTCCTCCAAAGCGCTGAATAATAGGCTGAATCTGAAACTTTTGACCTTGGTTTCCACCATATCTTTTGCAATCTGGGCCGGGTCTTTGACCCTAGCCCAGTACTCTATAGATGCTTACTTAGATCGATACGTTGTTGTTCTTGTTGTTGTTCAGAACCAAGGTTTCCCTCGTTTGTTTTTATTATTATTGTTGTCTGGACTTGATCGTCGGTATACTGTATTAAACAACCATTACCTTACTATTAATATTATTATTATTATTATCATTGCGCACGGAGCCTCCCTGTGTGATTATCCCCAATCCTTCTAATCCTTCTAATTCGTCCTTGTCCCACCAGCTCTCAAATTACGTATGTGACTACACAATTAAATTTGTTGTCCCTGAGGTGGCTCCGTAATAATAATGTTCCCACAGACAGTCAGTCTACTTACCTAGATAGTCTATCCAAGGCCCCATAGTTACTGACTTCAACGGGTTCATACAACTGACCTTTCCACAGAGCATTTTCATTTGCTCTGCTTGTCCTCTTCTATGGGTTTCAAGTTGAAAACATACACTCACTCCCTTCGATCTCTCCTGCATGATCCCTGTACCATCGTTCAATTCGGTGAGGAAATCAGCGCGCATCGCGTCCATACCTAATGGATCTGGACCATTCGCTCTTTATTTGGCTTAACACTCCTCAAAAAGCAACCCATTGCGCTGCCAGCTCTGTTTAGTAGTTGAGTGGGAGAGCACGATTTGCATGGTATCTTCATCGCCGAGGACTAAGAAGAAAAGAAAAATCTAAGGCTCCCAGAATTCGCCCGCATTTGTTAATCCTGATTTGGATGACTTGTAAAAGACTCCGCTTCAGGATTGATGGCGTCTGCGCCCGAAAACCGAGAGCTACAGGCAACTACCCCCGGTGCCGAAGAAGACAACGGTCCTACACCAAGCGACAAGAAGCCATGTAGTAGATCGCCTGTTCATCCTATTCCACAGTTGCAGGGCCCGTTCGAAGAATCAATCTTCGAGGCAAGCCAGAAACAAGAAACCCAATGGATCGTTAATCTTGACGCCCAGTCTCGGAGAAAAGAGTTGCTCGAAAATGACGAGTATGAACGGCTTTGTGGGAGAAAATGGCGCCAACGAGCCGGCGAAAGGCAAGTGAAATTCCAGGACCAGATCAAGGGCACCTTCCTTACCGTCGACCAACAAGCTAATGGGTCACAGATATCATCCTCTGTGGAAGTTGATCTCTCAGATCTCATTTGGAGTGCATTTGCTGGCCAAAGGATTGGCGAAATCCAAGCTAGAAGTTTTGAAGATCCTCCAGCGTCATGTGGATGAGCTTGACGGATTCATTGAGAGAAATACTGAGGACTACTTCATCATCCAGGTTGACGTGCGCACAAGGATTCAGTATCTCAGCCTGCCCCTTCAGAATTTGGATGTTTTCGATGAAATGTTGCAGGATCGCAACTTTCGCCTCGCTATGATTGAATACAATGAGAAGATCGAACATGCAATCGACCGATTTACCATGGCAGTGAAAGACTCCCTCAAAGACATCCAGAAAGGAAGAGAAGCAATCGGTGCTTTGTGGCATTATATCGGACAATCTGCGAAAAAAAATAGGCCTCTCCCCGGTGACTTGGTCGCTCTCTATAACGCTATGCTGGCGAACACAGAAGGCTGGAACACGGCGCTGTCTAAACTTAGCAGAAAGGGGATGGCCCTTGAGTCAGCTCTTGCACAGCTCGGTTTGGCCATCACCGAGATGCAACGGCGCATAGGGGTTGCAAGCAGGAGAGATGTGGTTAGTATCCTGCAGTGCATTTTCCTCAAAATTCTCAGTAGGGACGGAATGTTGATTTTAGTGCTAGGTTTCGCTGCTTCAGAATCCCAATGGAGCTTTCCACCACAGATCATCAAAGAAGCGTTTCTTCGGAAAAGCGTTATCCATCCGCGCATCCCGCTCCTCTGTCTCAGAGAAGCCACTACCTTCTGACCCAGATACTTTGGCAGCAGTCGATCCGCGCCCCATATCCAGGCAGACGCAAGGCCACCAAATGCCCCAGAAGAGCGTTCCGAACCTCCGAGCTGCCAAAAACTCCGAGGAGTTTTCATCGGAAGCTGAGGGCAGAGGCCGCGCCAAATCCGTTCACGGTGCGCCTGAAAATCGGGGCTCTACCACTTTTCTTCCTAGGATACAGAGAAGCCTCAGTAGAAGATTTTCCAGGGCTGGACTCGCGGCAAAGCAGAGCGCGAGTGGAGATGTCGAAAGGACGCCGAGAAAACGACCCGCCACGGCTCCTTCCAGATCACTCAAAACTCAAAGCACTTTTCTGGAACAACCTCAAAGCCTGGAGCACAATAATAAAGATAATGACAAGGACACGACGAATACAACAGTCCCGCTTCAGCCAAAGCGTTCTTCCGAGCCCGGACGCTTGGTCCGGCCGGACACCATGAAAAACCAGCTGTTACACTTCTTCAAGTCGGACAGAGTAGTCGAGGCTTGGGAGCGCGCTGCGAACAGAGAGAAGAAGATTTCTCGCTCGGTGTCCCAAAAGAAAAACGAGGGTCCATCGAGCGTGTTCCGTGCAAGGGCTACTGATACCTCTGATATGCCCGGCTCGCGGACGACCTTCTTTGAAAAGGACTTAGAGCAACAAATGGCCTKGCTGCAGGAAGGAACCGAAGTACTGAACACATATTCGTTAAAGCCAAGGCGGGACGTTGCTCCTAGAATTCATGTCCTTTCCGTACATACGAGCCTGATTCACGAGTCAGAAGAAGAACATTACTATGGCGATGAGATTAGGGAGGATTCGGCCGGAGATGGTCAATCAATAATAACGGCCCTTCCGGCACCACCCACGGTGAGCACAGCCACCGCCGTTCAGTGTCATTCCTATGTAAAGCTAAATTTTTGCAGATCCTTGAGAGATTTCCTCGTGTTCCATCTGCGTCCGGATGAGAGACGCACAGCCCACAATATGTTCTATTGTTATTGGAGTTCCAGCAMGTACCGACATGTGTGCTTTCGACTCGATTGGGGATTTGCTGGCCTTGATCATCACTGAAATTAATGGTCGAGGGCAATGAACTGCACTGGGAGTCCTGACCTACATCCATTCCTCGATGTAGAAGATATATCAAGGAGATCGAGGTTCCTGAAACGTGAACAGGAAAGATAAGCTCGCTGCACAGGGTTCACCATTGCCGACTACCAATACCTTAGTGGTGTACTCCCTGGCACAGAAATGCCCACTAACTGGCTTACACTACCGAATCGTTTCCAGCGGCGCCGTCATACCCGAAAGCAAGCGCGAGCCTGGCTTGCATCATGATAAGCCTGTTGTAGGACTGCTAATAACCAAAGGGGTTGCATCTATTATATTCAGCCTTGTCTCTACGCCGGTGGTCGAGAAAGCGAGACTTGCCGTTTATACACTTGCGATAGCCATCATCAATCACAGCAACGAACTGGCCGTATTTGTGGAACAGACATATCTCAGCTCAAGTAGTTGTCAATCCATATATGGTCTGAGACTAGGACGACACTATGAATCGAAGACACAAAGATACTTATACAATCATAGGGTGAAAGGGAAAACTGTCACGATGCGTGTTCTTCCCTTGCGTTGCATAGCTCAAAGATTCCAGAAACCCAAGCACTATTAGAAAGACAGGTAGTGGGGTAAAGAAAAAGAAGGGAGGGGGAAGCTGAAGCTGTCTTTCAATAGAAGTTTGATAGCACATAAAACGCCACTGGAACCGAACAAACCGGACAGACTTCTACCACAATCGAGGATGAAGTGTCCTAATACACATAAGTCGAGCAGAACAGGAAAAGAAAAGAGATCGAATTACAGGTTCAACAGCACGAGGTTCATGGCGTGAGTTACTTGCAGCGTTTCTCAACAATATTGGGGCCATGCTCATCGTATTCCTTCTTTGAAATCCACATTTGATGGAAGGTCCCCAGGCTGGCAAGGATGCTGCCTCCGACCCACGAACCAAACTTCCGCTCCGCCGTGTTTCCGGACGCAGAGATCCTCACTCTCGGTCCAGGATAACTCTGCATAAGCTCCTGGTTCAAGCGATCGGTGAAGCCATAGAGCAAGCTCGATGCGCCCGTGACGACGACATTCGCCAGGAGGTGGGGACGGACATCGACATCGACACCGTTCAGCGCAGCCTTGATAAGTTCTGGCACAGTCTGCGCCTGAGTTGGAGCTGGGAACACCGATTCTGGGTCTGGAATGGCCGCTTTGGCGTCAAACAACGACTCAACGACCCTGTACCGGTCGATCCCAAACACTTGATTATAGCCATCAGGGAACTCAAAAGGTCTTCCAGGACTGCTCTTCGCAACCTCCTCGTTGGAGACGCCGTTCGGACCGGTAGCGGAGAGTTTGTTGGGTCCGGGCCACACCTGCACAACACACTCCTTGAACTCAGATAACGTTCGTTCTTCCATGAGAGTGCGGTAGGACGCATCTGGTGCCTTATCAGCGGGGAATGTCTTGTACTTCGCTTGCGCGGGCTGTCCAGCATCGACGGCTGTCTTAGAGGCGATGAGATAGTGCGGTGTGATAGTGATCGGTTGTGGTGAGTTGGTTTTGAACAGAGCGCGGAGTTGCGACGAAATGTAGTCACCCCCGAGGGGAGAGTGTTGAACACCGCGCTTCAGTATCATTCCATCGTGGACCGGAGTCACGGAAATGTTCGAGGCGCCAACGTCAACGACCAAAGCAGAAGCCTTACCGGCGGCGAAGCTACAAGAGACGTAAGCACAACGATCAGCTAAGAGAATGAGTGTATAGAACGATGAAAACATACGCTGCAAGAACACCAGTTCTGGCCAGGTAAAATGCCGGCGTCCCCCACTTCTCCATGGCGATTTCGACGGTCTTCTCGCGCGCTTTCGTAGGATTCCAACCGCTCTCAGTCATGAGGAGGGGGCTGTCCGCAAGAGGCTTCTCCTCGGTTTCCACACCTTCCATTTCCGAAGGCAGTTCGCCATTGGGGACATCGTTCAGTCCGTTCTGAAAAGGATTTCCAGCCTTTGGTCCAGTCAAGCGCGATGTAAAAGAGTACTCCCACACTTTCTCCGCCATGTCCCAGTCCTCCACAACGCCGTCCCTCCCCATTGGATTATGAATTGACAAACCAGGCCGGGGAGTGACGAAGATGTCATCGCCAAAAATAAGTTTCTCTTGCGCCTCGTAGGTGTACTTTCCATAGTATGTCGGGATCACTGATTTCGGTGTATCTTCACCGGCAAACCCTGCGCGCGTTGTTGAAAATCCTGGGTCAAGAACAATGGCCGATATCTCATCTTGTACGCAAATCGCAATCAGCATCCATCGCTTTAGACATAGCCGATAAGGTCCAACATACCTCCACCGTATTCGGCAGTCGAAGGTGGAATTGAAGGGTTCATTTTGGTATTCGAAGGGGTACAGCCTGCTTAGAAGTCGAGGCAGACTGCGTCCTGCTTCTTTTGCTGACAAGTATCACTGCTGAAGCTGATAAGGCCACCAAAGATATTGCCAGACCTTCCTTGTAAAACAGTTTCAGCTCAAGATCGGCAGGTTGTGTAGGTAGGTAAAATGTTACTGTTAGGTCTTAGTGTTGCGGCGCGGCGGCGGAAATCCTAAGCAGCATGCGGGCGCGAAGAGCGGAGACCAACCACAGACAGCTTCGTTGGCGGCATCATCACGCGGTGGCCAATCTAAGCTAGTTTGACATTCTTCCATCTTCTAAATCACCCATTCTCCGCCATTTCCGTTTTATACTCGGTTATACACACACACACACACACACACACACACACACACACACACACACTATATTATCTGGGCAGCATGGATACCGATATCAGTCCGAATACTGAAGCGGTTTTTCGGCCGGTCAAGAGAAGGAAGTTCTTGCGACGCCGGGAGCTCGAGCCTGAAGATTCACAAGAAGAAGCGCACGTCGCAAATGCGAACAGCATCCATAACGATTCATCCGCATCTCAACCTCCTTCACAGTCAAACGATACAGTTTCGTCGACAGATCTTGCCCGTTTACGACGTCTTCAGCGAGCTCGCAAAGGCGGCATTGAATTCTCCAACACCTCTCGACAAAGTACGGATAAAACAGGCAATCAAGCTGCAGTGACGACAGTAACAGCTGAAGATCTTGAGAATGAGAAGATACGAGCTATGTGCGATCGGTTTACAGCATACACAGGCCAAACAGTGGACGTTGACAAGCATATGTACGATTCCGCATAGTATTTTACAGTGCTGCGTGTGATAGAGACTAACAAGATAAGGATGGCTTATATAGAGACCGAAATGGCTAAACGACACAGACAGCAGATGCCTGCCAATACTACTGACTCGAACATTTCTGCGACTAGCCAGGCAAGCTCCGATAGTCTTTCGACAATTGTGGCTTTGCAGCGCGAGCCAGCATCTCTGGGTAAACTGCACGAGATTGATCTTGGGCAAGAAGCAAAACTACAGAACATCGCTCGGACAGAAGCCGCGACGAGGAGACTTGTGGGAGATGATCGTGGTGCATCGCCAGCCCACGAAGACCCTACTTCCAGTGTCGCTGCGCCAGGGAAGGATGGCAGGCCGTGGCGCAATCGGAAACGGCGAAACAGCGAGGATATCGAAAGGGACAGACTTGTGGAAGAGGTCCTGCGTGAAAGCAAATGTATGTCTTATGTACTCGAACTCTGTGTGGGTTGTCGGCCCATTGCTAATGTGTCCGTTCACTTTAGTGGACGTTTATGATGAACCTGAAGAGGAAGCCATGCTAGACGATCAGGCGGCTGATGATAGGGTCGCGGAGCAATTTCGAAGGGAGTTCCTCGATGCCATTCAGTCTCGTCGCCGCGTGACACGAACGAAGAATACAAAGACCGCAGCGAAGCCCGAAGTCCCAAGGGGTCCTAAATTGGGCGGTAGCCGGAGTGCAAGAGCTGCTATGCGTGAGAGACAAGAGAAATCAGCTGGTCGAAAGTGATATCCTTTGTTATTGCTATCCTTTGGTGGGAAGGCAACACTCCTCGTTCTGTGCAATCATACAATATGTGTGAATATTGGAGACTCTACATGGGAAGACCTTCGTGTTATCTGTGGTCCCAAAGTGGACCACTACCATAGCCACGAGACGGCCGAATGTTATATTCCGCGACATGTTTTTCACCTTTTCCATGGGCTGAGATGAGGTAGTTGCATTCTTCAGCCAGCAAAGTCTGCGGTAGTCGTGGATGAGTGATTGATGGAATGACAAAGCTCACTTGCAATGCTTCTCTACTCCATATCAAGTGACCAAACCCTCGACAATTCACGTGTTTCTCTTGATCCAGACCAGCATTCCCTGTGCTTCAGCCACCAGGACCACCCAGGCGGGTCGACAATCAATCGTCAAGTCTCAAATTGAGTGAAGTGGGGTGCTTCATAATTTGCTTTTTCTTTTTTTTCCCGTTTTTCTTTTACTTCGGTTCCCTATAAGGCGTCGAACTTAATTTGTTCATTTCACCACCAAATGACATGACGGACCAGCGACAATGTTCGCATATACTTGTGCATGGCCAGTGGCGGAGGAAGCTCGATCACTTTATAAGAGAAGCGATCTATGGTTTAGCATAATATTTGTGAATCAAGAGCACAAGGAATCATTCCTTAGGAGTTACGGGGCTCTTATAGTGGCAACTACAGTCACTGCCATTCATTAGTCAACTGGAAGGGCAACACACTGATTCATAGGTTGAACAGTTACGTAGGAAGCAAACTCGGACGGACTGGGATACACAAGAACAGGTAGAGGGCACACCTGATATTGTCAATTGTCAAAGGACGCGAAGGAAACCAACTTGAAAGGAATGTGAGTTATGCCCGTATTCGAATTGCCTATAGATAGATACAGGATAAAGATGAAAGGACTTGAAATGTGCCATAAGTGTCCACTCTTATTAAACCCCGAGGTAATCCATTTCCCTGCCGCAATTTCCATAACCCATGACCTTGGTGAGGTCTTACATAGCAGCGTATCTATTCCATACCTAGTAGAATCATGTACATAAATCATCTCGAGCCTGGTTCGCAGGTTGCAACAACCAAACCACAAATTCTAAAGGTAGGACAACTTCGATTTCAGCTCCTTGAGATATGTTTTGGTTTCTTGACGAATCTGCGCATCACGACACGTGCTGCTTGACTTTATATAGCTTATGCAGATTCTTACCTGATTCGGGTTGGAGACACAAAGAATTGAGGAGTACCATCTGGTGAAATTCTGGGATTATTGGGGTTCCTTGAGAGGAAATTGGCACATTGGCTTTTCGTCTGGTAAAGATCACATGGCATCCTCATTGTGCCGACCTCGAATTAAAAAGGCGTTGAGAATAGAGAGGCAACAGATGTACTCCGTACATACTGTGTTAACACAGCACACACACGGGTAGATGCCACGGGTAAGTACCAAGTCCTAATGTAGGTAGTACAGTCTGTACCGAGTAGATAGAGCGGGGAGGTAATTTGCATAGCTGCGGCGCTACTGGTGTACGTAGTCCTCCGTGGCGTGGCGGACCTGAAGTGGAGTGGTTTAGCCTAGTAAAATATAAAAGGCTACGGAGCAGACACCTATTTTTGCAACTATCAGTATGATGCTTGCTTTGGATACCAAACGGTACCTGACTCTTAAGCAAGGTTTATAGGCCTAGTAGGGCCATCATATAGTCAAATAATTACCTTATGATGGAAATCTATGGTTACCTATTTAACCTTTGGTACCAGAGGGGAATCCCGTCCCTTGGTCCAAGGTACCATTATTGATTATTATCACCTTACTCCGTACTGAACCTGAGACTAAAATAGCAGTCAGACGCCTGGAATGCCATGCACTCAGTATCTCTAAATATCCGACTCTGTACGTACCTGCCTAGACTAGAGTCTAGACTAAGAAGAATAGCTCTAAGTGGCGTCATTCAGGAATACGACCCACATCAAAGAAAATGTTAAACCAATGAACAGTGGATTTACAACGGACTATGAAACACTCAGGGGCAGAGTTGTCAGAGCCTCGAACCAGCCGATGACCTCCCTGGAATCTTACAGGCCCATCTCTCCATACTCCCACAGCGAAAAAAATCCCACCCAAGCCAATAGATAGCAGATCTGGTAACACTTATACCCTCTAGCTGGCAGACTGATACGTTGCCGTAGACGCCCAATGGAGAAAATACAACTCTGTAAATCAATGGGAGTTGGGAATATCTGGTCCTTATGGGTCGTATGGGTAGATAATTTTGGCAGAGAATACTCCCTAAGAGGTAAATATTATTAGACTACCTACTGAGTACTAGTATGGTTCTGGAATAAACCATGGCCTGTACGGAGTACTCCGTACTACTCTGTCCATCCCGCCCAAAGTCCAACCTTTTCTCTCTCTTCATGGCCCATGAAGTTGTCTAGCCCCATCTCGAAGCTTTGCTAATCTCTGTCTGTTATTTCTCTATGTTCTCCTGTCTTTGACACTTCACTCTTTCTTATTTGCCTTTCTTGATTGACGTTCGTTCTGCATGCCAACCTTTAGGCAGTCGTCTTATTATTGCTCAGCAACAAAAGATAATCAGCACACCCACTCTCTCAAGCCTGACACCCACAAAAACACACTCGCTTTTGAATTTTCTTTCTTTCCTCCCTGTCTCCTGACTATTTCCGTCTCCTATTGCCTATTGACTTGTCCTTCTATCTTCAAGTCTTTCGTCTCGCAATCTCGACTTTACGGAGTCCACTTTTCTCTCTTTGTCTTTCCCAACTGGCCTTGAGGAACAAAGAGAGAAAGAGTGATTCCAAGCGTAGAGTGCGGGAGAACTCACTGCTTGTCAGAGGGGCATGGGGACTTTCTGATCTAAAGAAATCACCAACTTACTTGTCGCTCCTTGGTGGCCTCTCTTTCTTCATTCGTCAGTGAAATTTATTACCGGCACCGTTTAGCAGAGCAGTGTGTGTTCTGAGATAAACCATTCGAGACAGGCTGACCCTGTTGTACGCTCTGATTTGACCAACTATCAGTTGCAGCTCAATCGTTTCAACGTTAGCAGAGCTATACATACTTGCTCTTTATCTCTAGTCTCTCGCGGATCGGACTAATACCTGGCGATCGTTTTGATTGCAAAAAAAACCGTATCGAAGCGTTTAAGCCACCTCACATTGATGTTCTTTTAGCTCAATTGAAAGACTGGAGACTCAGGACTATCAAATCTCGAAGATGCGGATCCTCTCCTTTCCTATGCTCGCATCGAGCTTCTTGGTCGCTCGGACTCTCGCAACGGACACAATCAGTACTAACGAGGTATCGACTTGTTTGACTGGCTCCGACGTTGAAGTCAGGGAGCTATCAGTAACCTACACTCGCTCCACGAGAGAAGTCGTTTTCAACATTGACGGGACAAGCAAGAAAATACAAAATGTTACTGCATCATTGACAGTGACTGCTTATGGCAACCAAGTTTATTCGAAGGATTTCGACCCTTGCAGCTCCGATAATTACGTCGCCCAACTCTGTCCTGGTACGTATCATCCTTCTGCGGAGGTCGTTTATCGGTATCCGCTAATAGATGGACAGTCCCCGCGGGCTCTTTTCAAGCCCATGGAACGCAGCAGATCCCGGAAGAGTACGCCAGCCAGATCCCTTCAATTGCCTTCGAGATTCCCGATTTGGACGGTCTCGCCAAAATTCAGCTGAAGTCCAAGGACGGTGGGGCGGAGGTTGCTTGTATTCAGTCTGGGCTGTCCAACGGCAAGACGATGCAAGTCCAAAGCGTCACCTACGCCGCGGTAGGCGTGGCAGGCGCCGCACTGGCTTTGAGCGGACTGTCTGCCCTGGGGACGGCTGGCCACCCCGGAGCGAGTTCGTCTAGTCCCAGTTTCGGCGACGTGATGGGTTGGTTTCATAGCATGGCTACCAATGGCATGCTCAGTGTCAGCTATCCAACCATCTATCGCAGCTTCACCAAGAACTTCGCCTTCAGTACCGGCTTGATACCCTGGGGTGACATGCAAAGGTCCATCGACACTTTCAGAGCAGCCACCGGTGGCAACCTCACGCAGAATAGCTATGAATTTCTTCGCAATGCTACTTTGACGTACTCGGACGGTTCCTCGACGAATACAACCTCGAAAGTCAAGCGCGGGCTGAATCTGATCGTGGGCGCTGTCGATCTGGCCACCAGAGATCTGTCAGGTTCTTTCAGTAGCGACAGCACGTCGAGCAATTCGACTGACGGTGATCAGAGTACCTTCCACAAAGCTGTTTCTGGCATCGAGGCCTACGCGGAGCAACTCACCATTCCCCAGGCGAACACATTCATGACAGTCCTGCTGATTTTTGCCATCCTCGTCGCCGCCATCGCTGTCGGTATCCTGCTTCTAAAGGTCATCCTCGAACTATGGGCTCTCTACGGATCGTTCCCTGAAAAGCTCAAAGACTTCCGCAAAGATTATTGGGGTCTTCTGGCTAGAACAATTACCAATTTGATCCTCATTTTGTACGGAATGTGGGTGCTATATTGCATCTATCAACTGACTACCGGGGACTCGTGGGCTGCAAAGGTGCTTGCAGCCGTCACGCTTGCCGTGTTCACCGGTGTGCTTATGTTTTTCGGACTCCGTATTATGCATCTGGCTCGAAAATACAAAAGATCCGAAGGTGATGCCTCGGCATTGTACGAGGACAGAGAGACCTGGCGCAAGTACAGCCTTTTTTACGACAGTTACAAAAAGGATTACTGGTGGCTTTTCATGCCCGCCATTGTCTACATGTTCGCCAAGGGCTGTGTCATTGCCGGGGCGAATGGTCATGGACTGGTTCAGTCTGCAGGTCAGCTGATAGTCGAAGCTCTTATGCTGGGTCTCCTGCTGTGGAATCGCCCATATGTCGCCAAGTCCTCCCAGTGGATCAACATAACGATTCAAGTCGTTCGTGTCTTGTCGGTTGTTTGTGTCCTGGTATTTGTT